AAATAAAGGTGAGTAAATTAAGACTGAATTACCTAACTTTTTAAATCGTACAATTATGAATTTTAAACCTTCAAAAGTACAATTTTTGATTTTGAGGTATATGTTAGTGTAGATTAAAATCTAAAATCAAAATCAATAATGAACTTTTCAACAATATATTTCATCATTTATCAAAATTTACTCGAATTCTGATTTTGATTTTTACCAAACAGAGGCATAACCATTATTAATGTTAAGGTTAAAATCTCGCACAATTTTCACACAACTAACAATTATAGGACAATGTATGAACACATATCTTCAATTAAAATGATAGCTACGTGTAATTTTAATATCTAAATTGACGATTTTCATCATGTGGGGATTCAAACCACGTATTCACACTCAATGAAAAAAGTGTGGAGCTCAATCCTAATATATATATATATTTCAATTTTTTCGACTTTTTAATTACACATTTTTCAAAAATTCATTATCCTAAATCTCATTTTACTGTTTAATAGTAGATAAATGGGGCTAAATAATGAAGGGAAACTGGGGTGGTCACATCTTGATATGGTTAGGGTAATTGAGCTGTTGACAACCATGGCCCACGAGAAGACCTAATGATCCCAATCCAACCAATAAGGATAAAGTATCACAGAAAACTAGACACTAATTATGCCACGTAAGATTAGGTCTTAATCACAAGAAAATAATAAAAGATTAAAAATTAAATCATTTCGTTTAAAAGTTGAATATACATCTAACACTACTAACTTTTAGAAACAAGTGATTATATAACTTAACCACATTATAATTTTGTGATAGAATTGCAACCACTTTGTCGGAAAGTAAGAACCGACAAATTTCTTTATTTTGGATTTTATCCTCGGTGGGAATATAAGTGGGATAAAGTTATATAACTTTTTTTTAAATTAAATATTTTGATCGATTTGTCGTTACGATGATTTAATGTATTCCATTTAAATATATAAAATTGTTTGTTTTCAGATTATAAACTAAATTCAGGTGAATTTTTTTAATCGGGTAACGATTGAAATGTTCTAATTTTTCCTACACAATAAAATTATGTGTTCTCAACTCAATTACATTAATAGATTCTTGATAATTTAGTACCTTATAAATTAATAATATCGACTAAATAATATTTTTAATCGGAGTTAACTTGGGAATAAAGTGTTAACTTAATATTCACTAAAATTATAAAATAATACATTGTAAAAATAAAAATAGAAAATCTATAGATATTACTTTAAATTAATAATTTTTTAATGCAATTACTTATGTTTCGACTATGAGACCTTACTAAAATATGACTTTGTCGTTATTTATTTTATTTTATTTGAAATTGATGTCACCTTGAACCTCATCTCTAACTTTCGTGATGAAAGCCATTATAGTGTGTGTGTGTGTGTATAAAGAGAGAGAGAGTAATGAATACAGTCTATAATATTTAAGAAAATAAAGAATATCTTAATAAATTGATAATTTATTTATTAATCGATTGAAAAGTCTATCAAGTATATTTTCTTTGGTCCCAAAACTATAAACTTTAAATATTTAACTGTATATCAAATTATTTGTAAAATGTACCAAACATGTTTCTATATTCTAATTTTTTTTGTTTTTAGTGCATGTTTGATGTAAATTTTTAGCGAATAAAGTTGTTTCGCGCGTGTTAGTCGCTAACAATTAAAAGGGATCAGACGATTGTGTAAAAGACAAACCTCTTGAGACAAAGTTCCAAAAAAGGGTGTTCTTTATTGGCGATGACTTTACAATTGGAAATTAAAAACAGAATGCCTCCAAGGGGCGCAAGCACACGAATTACTGAAAGAAGTGTTTAAATATAAGCTAAAGAATTTAAAATTACATGTTCTCTGTTCGAGAGTTTTTGATTCGGTCCTTTTGCTCTATGTCTTTTCTTCCTTTTATACTCCCTGGATGATCTCTTTGTGATCAACCGCCTAAAAACTACTTGATCGTTCTACAACTGCCCACTTTCCTTGTAATGGCCAACTTATCATGGAACTGTCTTTTTTAACTGCTGCCATTACTCTTCGTCGTTCAACCGTTTTCGATTGAATTTCTTGAATCGTGGAACGTGATAAGGCTGCTTTAATAACTGATTTGATAACTGCACTTCTTGATAACCACAACACTTTATGCTTGCTAAGACCTTGGGCGACTCGAAGGTTTGGGCGAGAATAGAGTAACAGCTCTGGGCGACTGCATGGCACTCCATTCGCTCAGATTCTGGGCGACTTGCAAACTTGGGCAATGGCGTTACCGCGTTCTTGGGCCTCCCTATTTGGGCCTTCATCTTGAATTGTTCCAACTCTTGCCTCGACTTTGTCACCATCATTATACTTATTTCGACGTCACTATTCACAAAATTCTTCCAACAATTCGATTATTCTTAAGTTAAATACCTAAATGGGTATTCGGATATTAAATCGAGAACTGTTTAATTCGGTTTTCGATTCTAGATGAACTGAATTTCTCTAATTTTTTTAAATTTTTTTTTTATATTATTACATAAGCCAATTTTTTTATAAAAAAAATTCTAAATAAATTTGTCAACTAGTTAATTAAGTCCAAAAATATCATTTTCCTGTTTCATTTGCCAAAATTAATTGAACCCACTCAAGAAGCTACTGATGGAAATTTTGACATTTTAAATTAGTGGAATGATCAATAAATCAAAATTTGAATTTTTAATCTAAGATTGTAAGGGATGTACTTGTCATTCCCGTATCTACAGTTGCTTTTGAGTCAGCATTTAGTATTGAATGGTGCATTCTTGATCCATATAAGAGTTCTTTCAGTTTTAAAATAGTTGAGGCCTTGATTTATACACAAAACTGGTTAAGGGAGTCATCTAGATTTTTGCAAGTTTTCCAAGATAAAATTTGCAATGAAAAAACAAGGTTCTACGAAGATATTGAGACAGTTAATAAAATATATATTATTTTTTTCATGTTAAATCTTATTAGTTAGACAAATTTTCATTTACTTATATTTTGTTAATTTTACTTTTTCAATTATTTATTGTAGAATTTCCGAGTGTAATAAATCAAGCAATGGATGATTAGTTTAACGGTAATGCTATTTGTATATAATGGAATACAAAATGATGACATGAAATATCATTATGTACAAATAACGTTACACTTTAATTTAAATGGTTGGAAAGTACTTGTAATACTTAAAAATACTTTATTTCTGTAACTTCTAATTTATATTTCATTTATTTTATGTAGATTTGAAGACTTGAAGTAAATGAATTGATGAGATGGAATCATCGAAGTTTTAGCATTATTATTTACTTTTTGATAATTTGCATATATTGGTGAATGTATCTTATTAGACAACTTGTTATTTGTATAATTTTAAATTGAACTACATTATTTTGTAAGAGTTAAAATTGGGTATGTCATTAGTCAGAGTATTGTAATGTTATTGTAAATGTTAAAAAATTTAGCCCCAATTTGGTCCCCATTAAATTAAATTTCATTTTTCTCTCTTCTATTTTCAACAATATAGTCTTCCATAAAATAATATTACACGTAAATCTAAAACTTTTTTCAACCATATATATATATATAGTTTTTAAAGCAAAAACAAAAAACAACACATTTTTTTCTAGGAATTAATTCCTCCCTCGTCTATTTGTCTGAAAATTTAAGAAAACATAAAACAAGTCCCACAAAAGTTATACATAAAATAAGTTGTCCTGCTAAAACATCTACTTCTTCAAAGTTGGATTGGCTCCATCAACAAAGCAAGCATCCCCTTGAACAAAATCGAAATTCCTGCAATAATCATAACAAGCATTTAGCAACTAATTTTTCAAGAATAAACATCTATTTGGTTTAGTTACAAAAATCGATAAAAATTTAAGTCTAAATCGATAATTAACTTTAACCACATATTTTATGGGATCCTCAATTTTACGACCATACGTATCATCAACTTTTAACAAAATATATTAAAATTCTTATTTTTAGTTAAACCAAGAAAGTGGTAAATTTCATACAAATCTTGAACATGTTTCATGTAGATTTTTTTATAATAAATTTTGTGAAAGCGATATTTTAGAGAATGTGTACCAAATATAAATTTGTTTCGCAATCTTTTCAATATTGTAAGATCATGAAAAATGTGCCAAATATTGTAATTAGTATAAAAAAAAAAAACAGCACCCGTGACTTGTACAGGACAATGCATGTAAAGACAGGAACCAAAATGAAAGGAAATAATTGCTGAGAAGGACAAGACCATGGGACGGGAGAAAAGGGTTAGCCCTAATGTTTTTCATAAATTCTCAACATTGTCTTAATTATAGATATTAGCCTCTCATACAATCTCAAATTTTGTTATTAATATGATATTTCTACACATGTTAATTAAATCCTAGATCCTTCAATAACCATTGATATATATATATTTTTAATTTTCTCTACATACATAATTGTTTCATCTAGCTAGTGTATAATCACAACAATTAGATAATGACAACCTTATGAATAAACAATCGTCTGGATTTAAGAATTCAAAATTGATTGAAATACTTTTTTGAAAAATATGAAGCCCCTATTTGGTATAAATTAATTTAATGAAAATTTAAGTTAAAATCAATAAATAATTTTAATCATACATTTAATGGAACCTACAACTTTTCAACTATAAATTTCATTAACTTTTATCAAAATCTACTTAAAATACATTCAAATAAGTATTTGAAGGTTCATTTTTTTAGCTTAAGTTTAATAAGTAAGTATTTGCGTTCAAGCGCAAATAAGGAAAATAAGGACTACAATGCGAAAACACTCAAGAAAACAACTGACCCACTCCAAATAAGACTGACAAAAACAAAAAGTAAAGATTCGTGTGAATTAAATTCCCATTCTTCTTCTTATTTTCCTTCTTTTTTTTTTTTTAATACTGAAATCATGGCAAAAAGCAAATTATTTGACGCACCTGTACTTTCATGCTTTCTCTCGTTCATATATTTTTCTTCATTGAAAGTGCCCGCCTCCGAAAGGTTGGTTTTTCGGCGCAGTCTTTCCTTCTGAATCCATAGAGCTCAAAGTCATGCCATGTTGCTGTTCTCTCTGCCCAAATCCACCACTTACATTTCTCACTATCTCCCCAACGAGCCCGACTCCAAGAAAATCTCTCGTCAATCTACCTTGCTCCATGTTGCTGAAACTTGGACTCTGGCGTTTCTCCAATGGCTGCTCAAAGCTGAGTTTATTGGTCGTGCTGTATCCTCCATAGTCATTCTCTTGTTCATTACCACCATATGGATGAGTGTTGATCCCTACGGGGTTGCCTCCGAAAATGGATGAATTTCCACCAGTTATGGAACTCATTAGGTCATTGAAATGATTCCCATTATTCTCCCCGAAGATCGTTCCAAAGTTAGTCGCGGAATGAAGAGGATAATCGCATTTTGTGACGCTTGAGGATGAGGTGCCGAAGCTTTTCAGCAGTGAAGCACTGGTGTTGCTTGTTGTCGAACCCAGTTGAGCAGCCTTCTGAAGAAGTGCAGTTGCAGACATTTGTGTCGCACTGATTGACTGGCTTTGAAGGGATGAGATGTAGAGGGAAGGAATAGAAGCACTCATGTGATCAGTATTCATGAGATTACCTGCAGAGAAAAGGCTGGATCCTTCTCCGCCTCCAGTGCCACTGGAATGTCCATTGTTGAAATGATTGGGAAACAATAAGGATGAAGATATGTTACTGCTGTTATTGCTGTTGCCAATGCTATCGTTATTGTCGATGCCACTAGTGTTCGAAAAGAAGCTGAGGTTAAACAGACTGGTTGTTGACGAAGATGAGTTGGGATTTTTCTGAAGTTCAGGAAGTTGCAATAGGCCATGAAGTGACTTATTCGACGGTAGCCCATGTGAAGATTGACTATCATGGCTCGATTCGGGCAGGAAGAGAGCTGAAGAAGGCAATGTTTGGGAAGGCTGAAAGGTTGAGCCAATGAGGGTATCGAATTGGCCAGATCTTCCACTACCCAAGTGTAGTAAATCAGCTGATATTGCTTGCTGCTGGTTTTGATCATGTCCGGTGGACATTTGGGAGATGCCTAAGCTCATGTTGCTACTGCCAAATAAATGGCTGCCAATGCTTCTTAATGAGGTTGGATTGAGGTTTCTTGCACTCTCTTGAGCAAGTGCATCGCAGAAGGCCCTATGGGTGATGAAACTGTCACGCCTGCAACAATATGATCATTAGGCGAATTTGCCACTTTGCCAGAAGAAATTTTACAGATACAGTGACATTATCGGAGGTGGCAACAGATGCTTTGATGAAAAAATTGACTGTGTTTAAAACATTCCACTAACAGAATGCCACTTGTTATTATGACAAGGATTATCTCACGTATCATGACTCCCATTAGACAGCAGTTGCACAATTTTTCTTTTGAAAAAACAATCGATCGGTGAGGTAAATCTCCATCTCAACAGTATCATTAATTAGGGTTCACTAAGAAACAAGAATTATACAAGGGTTTTTTCGCTCGAACTGATTAAAACAAATAAGAGGGTAAAACAAATTTAATTTTATAATATAAAATAACCTTGTTTTATTACATAGTCTTGAACTGGAGAATCCTTATAGATTATAGTTGGTAGAATAAGTTTGAAATTTGTAGATAGTTTATCACTTTCAGAAATATATATAGTGAAAAAATTGAGAATGAAAATGTTAGGTGACAGAATTTCTAAAATTCTTTAATGATTAATCAATCAACAAAGTCCTACCATAAGTTTTGTAAAATAAAAAAAACTTGCAGAATCATCATATGGTGAAAATAATCAATCAAACAGTCATTTAGGTATTGAATTAAAGTACTCCACAAGTTAAGAACACAAATCCTGGTACCAAAAAAATAATAATAATAAAAATAGAAAAAAAAAATCGAGAACACTGCTTCAAAACCAAATAATTGCATTATGTCACTGTGTATGTATGTGACTGAGAGGTGATAGATGAATTAGATTATAGTCTCAAAATGTTATCATGAAAAGTGTTATCTGCAAGAATACAGACCTAAACGAATCTAGCCAACCCATAAGAGAACAAACCTGGTAAAGATTAAACTTTTACACACTGATGAATAAGTAAAAAAAGTTAAAAACCTCAATGGGACAAAGGATGGTTGTCCCCATGAAGGCAAGGTAGAGAGATATACATGTGTTTTTTTGACAACCATGGCGTTTTTTCCAAAGATAAATTCACGTGCAGTCATTTTTTTCCACAAAGGATCCAAAAACAAGAGAAAATCAAAACTCAACCAAAAGTTTATGCAGAGATAGAAAGAAAGGGCCATTTTCATGAGAATCTGTAAGCGATTAAAAAGACTTTTTACTTGATATAATCAAAAGCCCTAAAAGGCTAAAACCGAAGAAGACAAGCGTTTCTCTCTTTACCTCTACATCTGTGTAAGAATTCCAGGTTCACTTACTTAGCATCTTTCTTGAATGAAATCGAAACCAACCCAACAAATTAATAACTACAGTGTAAAGAAGTGAGTTAGCTTAGAAACCCAGATCGATATGATTTATGATTAATTTTACCTTGAGAAAAGAGTGCCACAGTCACATCTGTACTCTCTAGTACCACAGGTTTTTGAGTGAGCTTTCCAATCAGAATGTACTGCATATTTCTTAGAGCACTTTTCGCACTTGAACTTCTTCTCTCCATGTTTTCTTGAGTAATGCTTCTTAATACCAGTGAGGTCTCCAAGTGCTCTTGAATGGTCATGGTGTACACATGTGGGCTCTGGACACAAATACACCTTACGCTTAACCTCTTTTGTTGTCTTCTGCTTTAGTTTCCAAGGCAGGTTGTGTCCTCTTCGGTGCAGTTGAAGGTTTTGCTCCCTTTGAAACCCTTTGTTGCAAACCTCACAAAGGAATCTGTTTGTAGCCATTAGGGTCTTGGGAGATAGTGCTATCACCTCTGCATCTAGATCTGTTATCAAATTTTATTTTTTTATTTTTTTTGAAAAAAAAATAATAATAAATCCATTTCAATTCTTGTTTAAACCATTCAAATTTAGGGTTTTCTTGAAATGAAAACTGAAAGCTTATCAGATAATTGGATTCAAGTTTTTGGTACTTGCTTGACGTTCCAGGCTGATTTTTTCTTCTCTTTGGCGGCGGGGGCGGTGGAGCGGTTGATGAAGATGGTGCTGATGAATGATTTTGTTTCATCTGATTCTGTTCTTGGTCTCTCATTGCAAGAAAAGGTGCCGCTGCTGATGAAGAAGAAGCTGCCATTGAATCAATCCCTTGTCGTACTAATTAATCAACCCCGTCAATATATATTCACATGCAATTTGAGAACTTTCCAAATCTTATCCCAGAATTCATGAACAACTTCTTCTTCTCAACTCCTAGCTATATATGCAAATTAATCAAAAAGTAAAACCAAAAACATATCATCCGAACTACACACATATATATAAGCAACCAAAATCAAGCAAAATATTAAAAGAGAAAGAGAGAGAGAGAGAGATGCATATATCAACCCATGGCTGGCTAGCTAGAGCTAAAAATGCTATCTTCCTTTTTCCTTAAATGAAATGAAGTTTTCGAAAAAGATGCCGTACTCAGGTTCATCTATATGCCTTGCTGTCAAGCCCACACAAACACACACATATCCACAGCATTTATTTCTTGTTTCCCTCTTTTTCTTTCATAAATTTTTCTCATCTTCTATAATCAAAACACGCAAAAATAAGTAGAGAGAGAAAACGAGAGAGAGAGGCAGCAGAAGGGGGGAAGGTGGGGGTGCAGCAACGCTTTCAGGCTGAGCCCACGACCCATAGTGTGTCCATATGCGGCGAAGGATTGGGTCCACCGCCTGTACGTCATTGCCTCCGTTCTCTTTTCTCTCTCTCGTTTCAGTATCTTTTTACTTGCTTTTGGACAAATATATCTTCGTCACCCCTGCACGGTAATAGAATTTAAATAAATTTAAATATTAACAATAGTCAAGCTTATTATACCAAGAATTATTAAATATTCTCCAATGCTAATTAGAATATGTGTAAAATTTGTGGTCGATATAGATGTTATGTTTTCATCCAAACAAAACACAACAAACGAACGTTGATTAGGTAAGAAATTATGGAACCTGATGGCTTAAGAACAGGCATATATAGTAACATTAATTCTAGAAAATAAGAACAATTCAATGAAAATGATATATGTGTAGCCAACAAAATGTTTGATTTTTCAGTTTTCATCTTATACTTGTTGACTGACTTTCTGTCAGTGAAGTGTAGATTGTGCAAGTTTATGTCCATGTTTGGACTCTTTAGCGATGAAAGTTGATAAAATTTGACGAATCTCATTAAATATTTGATTAAAAGGTGGATATAAGTTCGTGATAATAAGAAACGGGTGATTAGAAATTCAATTTGACCAATTTTTCAACAAAAAGTAGCTTTATCAAACAAGCCTTATAGTATGTTGGGTCCAATTTAAATTAAAGTAAAATAAAGGTGAGTAAATTAAGACTGAACTACCTAACTTTTTAAATCGTATAATTACGAATTTTAAACCTTCAAAAGTACAATTTTTGATTTTGAGGTATATGTTAGTGTAGATTAAAATCTCACATCAAAATCAATAATGAATTTTAATCAACTTTTCAACAATATATTTCATCATTTATCAAAATTGACTCGAATTCTGATTTTGATTTGCACTAAACAGAGGCATAACCATTATTAATGTTGAAGTTAAAATCTCATGATATTCACACAACTAACGATTATAGGACAACGTATTAACACTTATCTTCAATTAAACTGATAGATACATGTAATTTTAACATCTAAATTGACGATTTTCATCATGTGGCAAACCACATATTCAAATAAGTTGGAGACTCGTAGCCTTACTTGTGAATGTTAATGACACGTATTCACACTCAATGAAAAAATTGGGGAGCTCAATCCTAATATATATATATATATATTTCAATTTCAATTTTTTTCTATTTTTTAATCACACATTTTACAAAAATTCATTATCCTAAATCTCATTTTTCTGTTTAATGGTAGATAAACGGGGCTAAATAATGAAGGGAAACTGGGGTGGTCACATCTTGATATGGTTAGGGTAATTGTGCTGTTGACAACCATGGCCCACGGGAAGACCTAATGATCCCAATCCAACCAATAAGGATAAAGTATCACTGAAAACTAGACACTAATTATGCCACGTAAGATTAGGTCTTAATCACAAAAAAATAATAAAAGATTAAAAATTAAATCATTTCGTTTAAAGGTTGAATATACATCTAACACTATTAACTTTTAGAAACAAGTGATTATATAACTTAACCACATTATAATTTTGTGATGGAATTGCAACCACTTTGTCGGAAAGTAAGAACCGACAAATTTCTTTATTTTGGATTTTATCCTCGGTGGGAATATAAGTGGGATAAAGTTATATAACTTTTTTTTAAATTAAATATTTTGATTGATTTGTCGTTACGATGATTTAATGTATTCCATTTAAATATATAAAATTGTTTGTTTTCAGATTATAAACTAAATTCAGGTGAAATTTTTTAATCGGGTAACGATTGAAATGTTCTAATTTTTCCTACACAATAAAATTATGTGTTCTCAACTCAATTACATTAATAGATTCTTGATAATTTAGTACCTTATAAATTAATAATATCGACTAAATAATATTTTTAATCGGAGTTAACTTGGGAATAAAGTGTTAACTTAATATTCACTAAAATTATAAAATAATACATTGTAAAAATAAAAATAGAAAATCTATAGATATTACTTTAAATTAATAATTTTTTAATGCAATTACTTATGTTTCGACTATGAGACCTTACTAAAATATGACTTTGTCGTTATTTATTTTATTTTATTTGAAATTGATGTCACCTTGAACCTCATCTCTAACTTTCGTGATGAAAGCCATTATAGTGTGTGTGTGTGTGTATAAAGAGAGAGAGAGTAATGAATACAGTCTATAATATTTAAGAAAATAAAGAATATCTTAATAAATTGATAATTTATTTATTAATCGATTGAAAAGTCTATCAAGTATATTTTCTTTGGTCCCAAAACTATAAACTTTAAATATTTAACTGTATATCAAATTATTTGTAAAATGTACCAAACATGTTTCTATATTCTAATTTTTTTTGTTTTTAGTGCATGTTTGATGTAAATTTTTAGCGAATAAAGTTGTTTCGCGCGTGTTAGTCGCTAACAATTAAAAGGGATCAGACGATTGTGTAAAAGACAAACCTCTTGAGACAAAGTTCCAAAAAAGGGTGTTCTTTATTGGCGATGACTTTACAATTGGAAATTAAAAACAGAATGCCTCCAAGGGGCGCAAGCACACGAATTACTGAAAGAAGTGTTTAAATATAAGCTAAAGAATTTAAAATTACATGTTCTCTGTTCGAGAGTTTTTGATTCGGTCCTTTTGCTCTATGTCTTTTCTTCCTTTTATACTCCCTGGATGATCTCTTTGTGATCAACCGCCTAAAAACTACTTGATCGTTCTACAACTGCCCACTTTCCTTGTAATGGCCAACTTATCATGGAACTGTCTTTTTTAACTGCTGCCATTACTCTTCGTCGTTCAACCGTTTTCGATTGAATTTCTTGAATCGTGGAACGTGATAAGGCTGCTTTAAAAACTGCTTTGATAACTGAACTTCTTGATAACCACAACACTTTATGCTTGCTAAGACCTTGGGCGACTCGAAGGTTTGGGCGAGAATAGAGTAACAGCTCTGGGCGACTGCATGGCACTCCATTCGCTCAGATTCTGGGCGACTTGCAAACTTGGGCAATGGCGTTACCGCGTTCTTGGGCCTCCCTATTTGGGCCTTCATCTTGAATTGTT